AAAGTCATCAGTATCTGATGGATATTGTAGATGTTTTGTTTTTCAGCCAGCTTGTCATAGCCAGCCCCTGTTTTGGATTGAGAAAAGTGACTGGCTGAAGATCACCTAGCTGACTCCCAGAGAAAATTAAAACTGGGTTTCTCCAGGTCTAATCTGGCACCTTAACCACCACATCAAAAGGCCTCTCATACCAACTCTCTCCATATAATTTTCTTAAATCTGAAGTGGAAATCGTGACCATTTGAGACCAAGCCACATCCAAAAACCCTAGAGAATCCCTGGAAGTTGGCATTCTGGCAACTGATCCATCAACAGATTTCAATAACATTTATATGCTGATCAACAGGCCAAAAAAAGGAGCAAAAAACCAAAATACATCCGAAAAGCAGTTGAGAGCTAGATGAGCATAGATTAACACCAAGAGTGACATCAGATCAACAGTCAAGAAGTGAACAATATTCCAATTAAAGAACTGCCCAATCAGCCAACAGTAAACACACACCCCAGCCACAAACCCACCAATACTTAGCAGGGCAAGTCAGTAGAATATAAACAGAGCACACCCCACTCCCTATTAGCACTGATGATATGATTTGGTAGTGAAAAGTCATCAAGAAAACAACCATGCTCTAGGACCTCTCATTTCAACCCTGAGATACAAATGATCTCTTTTATTGCAAAAACAGCTAATTTTGGAGTTTGCATTAATAATTCTGACAAAATAGGCCACTTTTTAATTGTTTGCTTAATAAATCCATTTAGGACAATTGGAACAAATTGTACATAGCACGTGATTTTTGCCAGATTATAAGACAAACTGTTACAGAGTTCAACAAAACTGCTGTTCAAAGTTTATCAAAATTGTAACTTTTACAAGTGCAAAATGAGGTTGATGGATGAGTTATTAATGTAGTTCTTGGCAGCTAAAGTTCATGTGGCTTGCTGGACAAATTTGAAAGGAAATAGCCTGAAGGCTATTGCAATAAATGTGGGAAAAGAACAACCTTGAACTGAACATATGTAGCAAGCAAATATTTTAAAGGCATTTCTACTGATTTAGTGAATCAGAATTACAAAATCAGAGGTAAATTAATGATTGCCATCATTGAAATGATGCATAGGAAATGGAATTTCAGGTGTGAATATGGAATAAAGATAAAGCTTGAGGCTGAATTTATAAATGCATGGGAAAACGTTCAAATCTTCTTTTCAAATATTATCCCTGCTGATATCTAACAAGAGATATTGGGGAAATTCTGAAGAAGTTATTCTAGGTAGTTTAAAGAATTCTGAGTTACGGAGTGAGAGAGACAAAAACAAAGCTATTTTTGATTCCTTATATTTAACAACACCCTTTCTGGAATATAACAAATGAATTACAATATAAAGTTCCTAATTAACTTTCTGTATAAGAAAGAACAGCCAATCCAACACCAACCCCCTCACCTCAGAATTTTCACTGACACATCAAGGAAAAAACCCCACACAAGCTATTCAACCCTGGATACTGTGGTACAAAATGAGGAAAGATTTGCAAAAGTAGTCTTTGACGACTAAAGCTAATAAAATACATTATATTTAGAGGAGGAGGAAATCTTTTACATTGAAATTGCTGTTCAGTTTGAGCTGGAAAGGAACTACTTCTGTTTCAAGAAACCTTGGTATATACCAGTGGACTTCAACTCCAAGAATTCCCCAGCCAGCAAATCAAAGGAGATGTTAAAACAATGTAATATTTTAATAGCTTCAAACAATGTAATACTGCACTAGAAGGAAACTGAGGATCATAAAAGGGGACTTTGTAATCAAAGTTAGGGGAATTTTAATGGGGCACCAATTCACCTATTACAGTTCCCTCTTTAGTTGGCTCTTTTTCATGTGGTGTTGATATAAATCCCTGATAGTCTGTTGAGTCACATTTGGATCTGGTCCAATATAAATTATTGTCTGAATAAAAAATAATATAAGAAGTTAATAGAGCTTGAAGATGAATATTATTTGTACATTGGTATCAAGATGGTGTTTTGTATCGGATCCATGTAATTCTGCAGGACAAATCCAGCATTTTTACCACCTGATGCAGAGCACAAGAGCCTTCTCTTCCCAGTTTATAGACTAGATCCAACAGATTTTACAGTTAAATTTTTTACTTCAAAGTTGGAGAAATAATAAATTTCATTATATTACAGGACAGCAGAAAAATTTGGTGGGATCCAAAAGCAGAGTCTCATTTTCTCTGACTGTAAATGTGATTAATAAATGAAACCAAATATCTGCCCTCTTAAGAGACCCTACTTCTCAACCTTATAGTGATTGGATTCATATATTATATTAAGCCATAGTTATTTAATAAACACATATTGGTTTTGTACTATAAAGGATGGTTTTGAACTATAAAACATGGTTTATAAGTTTCTGTGTCTTGGTTCACACATTATGCTAAAACAACACCAAACAATCACATCACCTAGTGGATTATATGAAACCTGTCTGAGACAAGCTGTCATTTTGTCCTTCAAAAACACTGGCCTTGGGGTTCATAAAAGTGTGGCCACAGTTTCACCCCATTTTATTTGAATGCAAGTTTATATATTTTGGGGACCAGTGTCCCCATGACCCTACTTATTTGTTGGCCTGCATTAAGATCAGTATCCCTCTTTCTTGCTAGGAGTATAAAACATAAACAGGATTGTATATACATTGCAATGCACAGTATGGACTGAACAGCTGGGTTGGTGGACCTCACACTTAGGCAGCTCATGTACCAGAAAACTTAATAATGTACAGGTAGCTCTTGACTTACGATCAGTTGCTTAGTGATCATTCAAAGTTATAATGGTCCTACCTCAGGGCTATGTACAACCTGGATTCAAAGTTCCAACAGTCATGTGACAGAACTTTGGGTGTTCAACAACTTGGCTCCAGCATCTTACAATCATATAATTACATTTTATGATAATTTTGCTGAAAACCAGCATTTACTTTCAATGACAAATATCTGTTGCTTGGGTGTAGGATGAGGGTGAAGATTCTTTCTCTGAGCTTGTGGGTTGGTTTCCAAATGTTTTATTATCAGACTAGGCAACATCTTCAGTGGAATTTAGGGTATTCTATTAACTCTGTGAAGAGATTACCTTGCCTGGTAATGAAACGTTCGGAAACCAACCCTCAAGCTCAGAGAAAGAACTTCCACCCTCATTTATTTCAGGGTTTTTGTAAAACTGGGCCCAAAGCAAACCATTGATTTACTTAATGACCATGGTGTTTGTTTAATTATTGCCACAATTTTTAAGTTGTAAAATTGTCTTGGTTATATGATCAACCTGCTAAATGACTATCATGACTTACAACCATTATGAACAGGCTTCATTATGTAGTATGTCATAAGTCAAAGACTATACTCAAAATTACTAGATGAATCTCCGTTGCCTTTTGGTAAATTGGTAATGTGATGCTGTCCACACGCATCACGTTCAAGAGCCATACTATGGTAGATGCTATTAAGCCAACAGGTTCCAGTCCATTGTTTCAATTATAGATAATTTTCTCTAATCTTCACCTGATAGGTCATTTATCTAATCTTCATCTGAACGCATCCAACGAAGGGGAGATTCCACTGTCAAACAGCGCTTACAATTCAGAAGTAATTTTATCCCTCATACATATTCAATCAGAATCTCTGTTCCTGTAATTTAAATCCATTATTCAGTGCCCTATTTTATGTTATATCCTGTCAAGTATTTAAAAAAACATGACCAAAGCTCTTGTTAGTCTCTGCTCAAAGATAACCATCCCTCTTCATTTAATCCAGTGTTTTTCAAACTTTGCAACTTCATGATGCATGGACTTCAACTCCCAGAATTCACAAATATGTGAAGTCCATTATGGGAACTGAAGTCTACATTGCCGATAGTTTGAAAATCACTGATTATATCTCTCTTCCCAGCCACCTATTATCCTTATTGGTATACTTTAAAATGTTAAAGATTGCCTGAATCAGAAGCCAAGATTAGTCATGGTATTCAAGGTAGAGTGGACATATGAAATGCAGAACAAAGTGCAAGTAGAATTTTAATTTAAAAACTGTATTTCTGTATATGCTACCTAAAATTATATTTGCCTTTTGGTTTGGTTTTTTTTCCCTCAGGCATATCACATTGTTGACCCAAATCCCATATTCAGTTTACAATTTATTAGTACTGTAATTTGTCCATAGAATTTTTGCTTCCTTAGAAAATAATTTTGCAATATCTCTATTAAATAATATTAATATTTTTATCCCATTTCTTTTATAAAAACTAGTACATTTTATTTCTGTTCTGAAAGATATCATATTCAGTTTTATATCGTCAGTAAATTCAGGAAAGTATTCCCTTCGTCTCTTTATCCAAGTAATAAAAATATTTCAGAGTTCAGGATCTAGGATATTCCCCACACACACATGGTACTGTAGGAAGCCCTCCTTTCCCAGATTAAAATATTCTTTATTATTAATGTTCTTTATTATTAATTCTAAAGACAGGACATCACTTTTAGGATTAACCCACCATCATTAGACTAGCAAGTCACTACATTGCACATACCCCTAGAGCAGGGGCGTCAAACTCAAGGTCCACGGGCCAGGTGCATCAAGCACTAGCCACTCCCATCCCCGGTTTAGTGAAGGGGGGAAAAGTCGCTATACGTCACATGATGACATGAGGATGCAAGTTTGACATCCCTGCCCTAGAACATCTCAATCACAAAATCCCAGAACCCTATAAAGATCCATCCATTCATTCAGCCAAGGGATCTGCCAACCCAGAAACATTGCTGTTGTCACTGAAGTTTCTAGAAACCAAATGAACCTTCTTTCCTTTCAGCCAATCAGCCTCCATTTTATTTCCAGTGCCTTTCTCCTGGCTTGGAACTGGACTGGATTTTTCTTCCTATAGTACCTTATTCCAATTTGATAAGGAACCACTTATTAGTACTCTGAGCTCAATTTTTGAGTCAGGTGCGTAGCCACCCATCCTGTTCACATTCAAGTAGCATGCTAGACAGAATATGGGCTGTTTTGTAAAGTGCTGTTTCTGCAATTAATTTAAACTACATCTCCAGCATTCCCTCAATCTAAGGATTCTGTCTAAACAAAACCTTTACTTAAGTTCATTTGGCAAGGTTTGTTTTTGACAGGTCATGCTGAGTGCTGGTAATTAGCAGATAGTTTTCAAGTTTCTTAAAAATAAAGATTTGTATGAACTGCTGTAGAATCTTTCCATGTACATCAGATTTATTGGCCTTAGTTATTGGTATCTAAGAGGCGACCAAAGCTTACCTAGCAGAAGCAACTTAATCTATAAAAAACATTTCCCATCTACATTTTCTATCGTGATTTAGAACACAACTATATAAGGTGAATGTTTGGATAATTTTCAGTGATGGTCAGATTCAACTGCTGTTGCAAGAAAGCTTTCAGCAGGGAGGAGAGTAGGAAGATGAAAGCAGGTACCAGTACCAATGAGGCCTATCAGAGCAGCTGCCCAAGTGTGCCAAGAGCTGGGCAGCCTGAGAGGCAAAAACAAACATTTTCTATTTACTCCGATTAGAAAGGTTAACAAGGTAGCTAAGGAGGGGTAATTTATCTGAATTTAGCAGTACTGTGTATGTTCCCTATTCTGTGTATGTTCTCTACCTCTCAATTTTCCTTTCTCATTTATAAGTCCCTCATAAACTTGTGTTTAATACAAATCTTGTATTGTTTGTTTCTTAAATTAAAAAAGAGGAAAACAAAACAGAACAATGTTCATCCTTTGGGGAAACTTTACATGAAAATCAGGATCTGATCCTAGAGTTTCCGAGGACTCCCTCGTTAACTTCATTAGCAAATGTAATGAACCTGATCTGTCAACATCAGCTTCTCTTCAGCAGAGAAATGTCCTCAGAAAAGGGCTTATGAAAAGCATCTCCTTCACTTGGCCATTACTTTTCTTCCCGTTCCCCATCAGAAAAGAAATTGGGGTTTTCGGGCAAAGTAGCCCTGATTTTCTTCTTTTCTTTGAAGCGTCCAGAATTGGAAACTTTGACATGTTTCCCTTTGGTGCTTTTGTCCACAATTTTCTCTAGCCGGGCATTGAATTCCTGCTCATTGCGGCTTCCACTGCTCCCATCTGCTGGCATGCCCTCTTGTAGACTCTCATCATTGGCCACTCCATAAATATCTGGACGTTCATACAATACCTTTGGAGTTGATTTTTTCTTTCGAAGGAAGGTTAACTTCCACCAGCTATAATTATTTTCTGCCATGGAGCCAACAGGAAGGATCAGTCACTCTTGGGAAAGGAGAAAAAAGCACATATCTGTTATGATCTTGTGACATTGGCTGGTTCTTCTTCCCCCCTAAATGGTCAAGAAGACCATATTTAGAATTCTGAGCTTCATATTCCTCATGTACACATAATAAACACCTCACCCCAAATCCCTATTTTCATTCCAAAAATAAATCATGGAAGTTAGATGGATAATATAAGCAAGAAACTATGAACTTTCTCTCTTGATCTGTGCCTATGCCCTTAGTGCCTTAGAGAAAAAAAAGTGTAATACAAATAATGAGGACAAAATCAAACTCCTTGTATGTGGGAAAGATTTATTTTCAGATGTTTTTGATGTTTAAAGTGCAGGTATTGAAGCTTCAGTTGGAAGGGAAAGATTGAAATTGAGAATAGTTTCTTTACCTGGGCTACTTGTAGAGAATGGCAACCTCTGGGCATCTTTAAAAGTCAACTTTAAAGACAATTTATAAAGCCCACAGCCACCACATTGCTAACATATATTGCTTGCAAGGAGTACTTAAAATGATGAGATGTTGCTTAAAAGATTACTTGGTTTGAATGTCTCCCCCCACCTTTTTTCAAAATGTTAAGAGAAATTAAACACTTCATTTAAGCTTTCCCTTTAAAACATGGAGCATCTTATCTTTTCCCCCCTTTGTTTTCAGTTGCTTCACACTCTAGTTGTGTTTATCCCCCACTGATGGTGGCAGAGACACAGTATACATACTGTTAAAGTATCAATATTAAGTCAGGAAAATATTGGATAAAGCTTAACTTGTTTGCATACGTCTGAATGATCTTAGCTCAGCCAATTCGTCTGTGCCTAAATTCTTCCATCTGTTCATGAACTTATTGTTATCATTGTGAAAAAAATTAAATGCACTATATAAATGTTGCATTGTAGGCAGAGCAAAGTTCTTTCTGGCACTTAGGCACTGCCAAATGTGCTTCTCAGATTCCTGTTCTTGGATCCATACATTTTACTAAGCCACATTTGGTTTGAGAACAATTTACAGTATTCCCAAGAACCATGTTGATTGAATTCATGCATTATGCTAAACTAAACAACTCAAGCCAGTTATAATGGGCAGAAGTAATAACCTTAAGGAATAGGAGGAAGAGCCACAATCAAAACAAGTCAGATAAAAGAAATCTGAGGCCGGGCCAGAATTGAGAAATCACATCAGACAAGGTTCTTCTGATTTCTCAAAATAATAATGGGGGGATGGAGGGGAGGGAAGGACATTCAGACTCACAATATTCTGTTCCTATAATCTAATGAAAGTAGTGTTGCATGCATGACATTGGTTTCCTAATCCAGTGTACCTTGAAGTGCTAACACCAGTGTGTCTTATGAATCCTTTTAAATGATAGATATGGGCCAGCCTTGGATAAGAGGAAAATAGTTAATAGAAGAACAGTTATATCTTCTTGCTGAATAACAAAAATGTCCATAAAGAACTACAAGAATTTTTATTCTTTCCATCTAGGTTGTAACTTGAAAAATTAAGTAGAATTACAACTGGTTAGCATTTGGAGACCACCAGGATACTTTAAGGCTAGACTGTGAAATATTGAAAAAAATCCTTAAAAAGGAATAGGGAACAAAACTGCATGGAATGCTTATTCAGCAGAAAAATTCAACTTGGAAGAATCTTTATTTTTAAATTATTATTATGCATTTTATTATTTTACTTCATAGCTTCTAGCTTGTCTCAGGGTTTTATATTTGCTCAAGGTGTAACTTCTTGTTCTGAATCTATTCAGATCAAGAGCAAGAGCAGGAACTACTGTATGTAGGTGATTTTGTTTATTCTACATTAAAACATTTGTTTCCTGTGTATGATCTAAGGATACTGTAGCTTGAGATACCATGATAATAGTTTATAAATAGACAACACCTCACTGAAAGACAGACTGAATGCAACCCCCTGTTTTAAGGCCTGTCTATTCCCTATGAGCCAAGCAAAAAGGATGAGAAACAGCCTTTCTTCCATCCCATCCATGTATGTCCAATATTGGAGCCCATTCACTCTGTCCATAGATTTCTGTGGGAGCTGTTAAAATCTAACTTTATCTTCCAGCTCAGACGTGGCACCAGAAAGTGATATTAGAAACATAGATGAATGGTAATCTCTAATCTAACAATTACTATATCACTCGTACCAGCGTTCTCCAGGTGCTTTGGATTATTTTTATGCTTGGCCACTAAGTTACAGATTCAATTATGCTATCTCCAAAACCATGCTTAAACTTTATTTTAAGACATTTAATGTTTCTCTGAAGCACATGATCTACTTCATTTTCCACTCATGTTCTCTTTGTCCATCAACCTAGTAATGCCCCCCCCCCCAAAGTGTTAAGACTTCAATGCTGGCTCAGAATTATGGGAGTTGTTCCAACAGACGTAGAGGGTAGCAGATTGGGAAAAGGAAGGAAGGAGAGGTTCATGACCCATCTTTTAGTGGGAATCTTAGGTAACTAGATAAATTACCATGTCCTCACACCAAATATTAACTACTTCCATAGAGTGGAGTTAATGGCAGAGAAGGCTCTCTCCTAGACCCTGCCAATCGGAGTTCTTTGATTGGGAGGGGGTCTACAACATACCTTCCTTGCCGGACTGAGTGGGATGAAGCTAGGTCTGTAGGCAGCCTTGCTCTATGCTTATGTAGGGCTTTATAGGTCATAAGCAACATCTTGAATCAAAGCAAACTGGCACCCAATATAGTTCATGGAGGTGTTAGATGTGCCCTTCTTTGGGCACCCAATACAGCATTTGATTTCATCCATCCTTGAGAGGAATCTAATAGGTCTAAGAGATCAAAAACTGAAGTATTCTGCACAGATATATCTTTTCATTTTCTCCTTCCTTTTTTCCATATAAAGAGAGCGAGAAGGATTCATTTGCCAGGAAAAAAAAACCTCTTTATTGGAATGGCATGACAATATTTGACTCTAATTCAATGTTTTACATGAATAACAGAAAGCAGAACATTTTTAAAACTCACAAATTGATGGACACCTTTAAAATAGTCAGTTAACTAAATAAATATATCAAGACAGAATTGAACAAACTAATGCTCTTCACATGTTTTGGACTACAGTTCTTATGATCCTTAATAATTTGCTATTTTGGTTGGAGGTGAATGAGAACTGAAATTCTCATTCACCTAAAATTATCAATTTGCCTAACCTCTGAGCTAAAGATTCTCTGATAAGTGTATTTTAGCAGTAACTCAGGTTTGTAAAAGTGAAATATGCAAAACAGATAGCTACTCAGCAGATCATCTGCAATGTTTTTGTTTCCCTTATTTGAAAGCCGAATAAAGTTGTTCCTTCTTGTTCTATGCTTACAACAATCTTGCAAAAGATTAGAGCAAGAAATTGTATCTTGGTCTGATATCATCCAGAGATTAGGAGTAAGTATGGATGAAAACATGTGTTTGCCCCATCTAGATTCAAAACTATTATCCACTGAAGTTCTATTCATTTTATCTTTACATCTTTACATCTGCTATGGTGATTGATTAAACATTTGTGAAGGCTATAAAACTCAGTTTTCCCAGGTGTGGAGTGAGTTTCCTTCCCCTCTTCCCTTAAAAGTGCCGTTAACAACATACCTGTTTCGTCTGATGTCTGATTTGTTCGTCACTGAACAGTATCTTCAACTCTTGTGGGCAAAGATCAATATGGAGAAAACGTGAGGTAGAACGAGACACTGAGTTAGACGTTGTTACTTTTGTGCAAAACTGGCAGAGTTGGCTTTGGCAACCGGTAAAAATGTGATTCTCATATCTCAGGTGTGTGGAGGTGCCACATACCTATTTGTGCTTCACTTCTCTCTCCCTCCCTCCCTCTGTATGTCAAGGTTAGCCAGGGACTGAGCCACTCCTGCATAAAGTAAACAGGAGTGAACAGTGGCTGAGCAGGGACAGATCTGAATATTCATGATGAGGGAAATCTAAGCTGAGACCTTTGCTGGCTTAGAGCAATTTCATTTGACTTTACCTGTGGAGAAGGAAGAGGTGGTATTTCAAAAAAAAAGGGAGGGGGGTTAAATTCTAGAATTTCAGCTCTTTTGGATGTTGGGAATGCATCCCTTAAAGCCTTAGATGTTTATTTACTGAGTCAAAGTTTTAAAAAGGGAAACACTTTACTTCCTCAGGTGGATTGTGTTGATAACCACAGGCAATAAATGCATTACTGAATGCACATGCCCACAGAGGCTCAGACTTTATAACCCAAACTGAGTTAACAAGGCAAAATTTAAAACACCAAGATTATAAAGAATTGCACCCAGATACCTGGTCCTGCAGGGTGCAAATTCTCAAATGGGAACACGATTATTCTTCAGGAAAGTAAAACCCATTTTCATTCATAATACAGTGTCAATCTATTGAAGATAATTTCCGTCAAGGTCAATTTTTAGTAATCTGGCTGGTTTATTTATTTTTTCTGCCAGAATCAAATGTGGGAATCAATCACTGAAAACCATGTCAATTATACAGTTAATTGAAAATTCACCAAACTTCTTCTGTGAGTTTTAATCCAGAGTCATATATACTATACATATAATTTTATATTACAGTAATCAAATAATAAACGACATGTATGAACTAGTGTTTTATAAATACTTGTTTTGTGACTTCTAGTTCCAGTTACTGTATTTATTATAATCGGACACTTCTTTTATCCTTCTAATCACCCAGCAATATAGGTAGGCAAGGAAATGAAAAATAATGTGTTAGGTATTTATAGTTGTAGCATAGCGTGTAAACCTCCTGTTGGTCATATTTTATTACACTAAACAAAATGTTTGAAGGCAAAATTTAGAGATTAGTCACATAGTTCTATTCATGAATTGGTGGAGTAATAAATACCTTTGGAAACTTGCCTTGAATATTTAGGGTATTCCAAAAAGCCTTACTAAAGTTTTAAGCTTTTATAATGGTGGTTGTGGGCTTCAAGGAGATGGGAAGGATGCCACTGGCATATCCTCTAATTTTGTAGGTATTAATTCATTTTCAAATAAATAAATATTAAGCTGATTTGACCACATGAAAAGCTTCTTCCTAAAATAATTTTTTCACCTGAAGATTTTAAGAAAGGGAGAAAAATTTTCCCTCCAGAGATTTGCAAGTGCTCTGCTTCAGTTCATGCTGGGGCTTGGGCCTCTGGAACACTGGGAAAGGTTAATTGGAGGTTGTTGTTTTTTTAAATAAGGAAATAAGTCTTGCCTGCTACTACCATGATGTTTGCAAAGCTTTCAACAATTGTGGCTATTTGTTATTTATACAGTGTCTCAAGGTACTGGTTCTTCGTGGAACAGTATAAATACACCAATAAAAATATAGTTTTGAGTTTCCAAAGTGCTTCCAGTCTAAACTGGACAACAGAAAAAAAAAACTCCAATCCTTTCCTGGCTAAAATTCCCAAGACAGATAAGCCCAATAAAAGGTTCTGATTAATTGGGACCGATTTATTCATCTATGCAATCCTCCAAATCCAATTTTGTGGGATACAAAATGTAATTTTCTAGATGTCAGAGCAATATGGGAACAACAGAATATACCCACTGGAAAACTAGGAGCCACTCACTAATTCTCAGGTTAATCCACCAAACAAAGAACTCCTTGTTAAAATAAAACAAAATAACTCTTAAACTGACATTTAAATTGATATGAACAGGTGGAGCTTCCTGGTTCTAGTTCTTACCAGTGCCAAACAATCTTCTACTTCTATTTCTTTATCCTTCATTGAAACGAAAGGGTTAACATCTCTAGTTCTTACTAGATTGGTTCTTTTACACCTATTCTTTTCTTTGGAGGATTAGTCAGACTAGACTCTGGCTCAGGCACTCATCAGACCGGTTTAGACTTCTTTTCTTTTCTTTTCTTTCTCTTTCTGTGTTGGGGTGAGGGGGAATAATTTGTTCCTTTTCCTGTTCAACTGCCAACAGCTTCCAGTAATCCAGGTTAGAGACCATTCAGTTGTTTTCCCAGGCAAATCATTCTCCCAAAACAGCATATCTTTCCAAGAGGTGAACATTGTACAATATATAAAGTGGAAAATAATCTATAGGAGGAATTGTTCAGAACTGAATCTATTTCCAGTAATTCAAGTTTATATCAGCGCACCATTTTGCGACTGAATCTTAGTGAAATTCCAAAGCCACTTGGTTACCCATTCCTAATCATAATAAAATCATGATCCTTCTAACTTCGGAAACTAGAGGTAAGGCAAAGGTAATGTGAGAAAGATTGGGTTTCCTTCACTCATCAATAACCCACATACTAATTTATTTCCAGCTTGGATTTTATTTAAGCATTCTTAAATTTGTTGCCACTACTCTAATTCCAGACAAATTTAACTCCATTTATGTTCCATTCAAAAGAATGGGCCATTAGTTAAATATAATATCACCAAAATTCTCTGAGCCCTGGACAGTATATATGTTTAATGGGTTAAATCCAAACCTTTTAGAGAAGCCCTTCCAAATCAAGTGGAAGTTCCACTGATTTTAAGATCTATTTTCCAGGCATGTTTAAGTCCAAACTCAACACCAACAATCTGGGATATAGCAATAATAGTTGGCAAAATGTTTTTGTTACTATAAATTTGCTTTCCACTGCCTGATGCCCTAGATATGTTGGAGCTTTTAAGAGGAAAAAATTATATAATCTAATATATCTACAGGAAAGCATGACTGGAGAAAACTGACACACGTCATACAAGGAATATCTGTCTCCCCGTCATCTGCCTGGAAGTTATAAATAGTAGTGAGATTGGAGACTATCTAGAACAGGGGTCTTCAAATTTGACAGCTTTAAGATTTATGGACTTCAATTCCCAGAATTTCTCCTCCACTCATGTTAGCTCAGGAATTCTGGGAGTTGAAGTCCACAAAGTCTTAAACTTGCCAAGTTTGAAGACCCTTGATCTAGAATGTCAAAATGTACTTAATTCTCACTCAGATTCTGAAATATAAAATAATTGCTTATAATAAAATTTCTTGTATGTGGTCTAGTAAGCCATTTATGAGAGGTTTATGACCTTTACTATAGGCAAACACATGAACTGAATGTCAAGCTCTGTAATTTCACCTTTTCATCAAAGGCAGCCTCATCTTAAAATAGTGTTACTAAAACAAAAGCTGAAAATATTCACAGTTCAATTTGGAAATTTACTATACACTTCGGTGCCAAATATTCTACCATGTACATAAAACATTAGAATTGCTGGACAATTCGACTTGAGGAATAGATATTTTTGCATTGTTTGCTATTACTATTATTATTACTAGGTTATGCCACTCCAACATTAACTTCTGGTTGGAAGAAATGGCTAATTTTGAAAAACAAAAATATTAGTAGTTAATTTTCCAATGTGACCTTGTACTTATGTTATTCTTTAATTTACTTGAAGGCAATCTCATTGTGTAATAATTTCTCAGCATCTAACTATTAAATAGCTGATGTAGTAGGCAGCCTTGGAATTACTATACAATATGAAGGAATTAGACTATCGTTTTATCTCGAGCTGTCGAATTTCTGAATACTGTACTATTCTCTGACAGGTTTTCTAGGAAATAAAAGATAATTTTTTAGCCTTAAGAGAATTTGCGGATTGACTTATAACTTTCGTATGCAGATAATCCTTTTACCACTGGCCATGTCCTTAGCTGAAACGGTTTAGCATTTCCACTTCATCTACATTCGTGCATAAGCGCACCATCGTGCCTACCATTCCTGTCTTATTGTTCACAATTATTCGTACCTATTTTCCGTATTTATACTTTATTCTTATCTTTATTATCTTGTAAGCGATTAACAAATCAAGTAAATAAAAATAAATAAATAAATGTAGGGTTCCAATTCACACGTGCACAATTAGCTCATGCAAAAATAGCCTCGTCAAAGAATCTGAATCTGTCTGCAAATTTTGAGCGCCACCTGCCGACCACTATCATTTCCTAACTCCCTTTCCTCTATCCTCACTCGCTCCGACCGCAACCCCCCCCCCCCCCCCCCCCCCCCCCCCCCCCCCGCTCCCCGCCGTTTCTGGTATAGGTGAATTTTTTACGGTGTGAGTTTCTGCTGGCCAATCACAAAAATGATGCGTGGCCTTGTACAGCTCCTTCATTTCACTTCCCACAGAAGGCGGGCTCTGCGTGTTGGAACTTGCGTTCGTTATTGGCTACGGCGGAAGAACTCTGTCCTGCGTCTGCGTCGATTGGTTGTTGAGGCGGAAGAGTAGTATCGTGAAGAAAAACGAGTTCTTTTGGCTGCGGAGGCAATAAAAATTATGCAGGTGGGAAAGAACATGTAATGATAACGGGGCAGTTGGTGGAAAACAGCATTTGGGTTATTTGGGGTGGGTAGGTAATTACCTCGTCTTGCGATTATTTCGCAATCACTATTTCTAGACTTGAGAATAACAGGGTTGGAAGGGACCTTAGAGGTCCTCTAGTCCAACTCTTCACTCAAGCAGGAGACCCTATTTTGCACCTACAATAAACTCCCCTTGTTTAATTCTAACATGAATGCCACGTACTTTCCTCCGTTAATTCTTCTAATTTATTTTATTTATTTATTTATTTATTTGATTTGCCAATTGTTTACAAGATAATAAGTATAAATGTATACATAGTTGTGAATACATGAAATGGGTACATATAAGAAAAATAAAAGAAGAATAAGAGAAACAATAGGACAGGGACGGTAGGCACGTTGGTGCGCTTATGCACGCCCCCTACAGGCCTCTTAGGAAAGGGGTGAGGTCAATAGTAGACAGTCTAAGGTTAAAGTTTTTGGGGTTTGGGGAAGAAACTACAGAGTCGGGTAGAGTATTCCAGACATTGACCACTCTATTGCTGAAGTCGTATTTCCTGCAATCA